TCTCCATGGGAAGGAGGGATTCTGGATGACCTGCAGGTGGCCGACCGCTCAGGGGATCTCTGAGTCTGGTGTTGGGTGTTCTGGGGTTTTTGGCAAAGCCATCAGGAAAGTGGCTACCCATCCCTCCTCCTCCCACAGGACAGGTGCTGTGTGATAGCACCAATTGCCTCTTCAGGGCCTGTGGTATCCTTTCCACAACTTGGTGAGGCAAGAACCCTTAGCATTCCTGTTTCCTGCAGCCCAGAAACATTGGCTAATTTACTCTGGGCCACAAAGCGAGGACCTGGCAGAGGAGGAACATTTATCCAGGTCTGACTGACATCAGAGACCTGTTCATAGACCCTGACACCCACCAGAGATGCCAGGAGCATCGTGGACTCTACCTAGAAAACCTGGGAGCGTCCAGTCACCTCTCAGGATACTGAGCAAATGCCCACTTAGCCTGAGGGGTAGACCAGTGGCTCTCACACCTGAGCGTGCATCAGAGTCACCTAGAGGATGTATTAAAACCCAGATTTCTGGGCCCTACCTTCAGAATTCTTGACTCTGGAGGTCTTGACAGTGGGCCCTGGAGTGTGTGTTTCTAGCAAGTCCTTGGGGGCTGCTACGGCCAGCCTAGGACCCCTCTTGGAGAACTGCTGGGGTAGACTAGTCCTGCTAAATGGAAAGTCTGCCAAAATATCACTTCAGTTCCTGCAGGGTAATTAGAGAATGCTAGCTTTCACTGCTCTTGGAATTTTGTGATTTTTACTTTAAATGAAAGTCAAAAAATGTTTCAAGTATAAATTTATATTTCCCGAAAAGTAGTCTGAAGAAAATATACCACAGTGTCTTGTGGGTGGTGGGCACACAGGTGTTGGTTATTCTGTGTTTTTCTGTAGGCTTGAAATCTTTCAAAATAATTTTTAATGAAAGACTAGAGGGGTAAGTTGACCCCACGCCCTGTGTCCCAGCTTCACAAGGAAGGATTTCATTCCTGAAACCTCCCAAGTAACTGGAAGAGAAGCGCTGCTGTCTCCCAGCGCCACGCTGTCTAAACACGCCGAGGCTGGGAGCACATCTCCACCCTCGGCCTGTGGAATGCTTTGCGAACAGTGCCAGCACTGGAGTTTGCCCTAATTTTATTGCTCGTTCGCCTGTGGAACATTAGATGTCTGTGCCTCCACATCAGTGTTGACGATCTGTGAAGCTGAGCTCCCGAGCTCTACTTAGGGGTTTTGTATGAGGCATGCCTGCCGCTGAGCTGGTTGCAGGCACACAGGCCTTCGCTGAGATGCTGAGCGTCCTTTGGATGCGTCCTCTGATGCAGAGCCCGGCTCCTCAGTGCCCTCTGCTGTTGGCACGGTTTGCTCTCTTTGCACTTCCCTTGAGCTGCCTCCTTTCACTGGAATAGCCTGTGAAGTGTTCCAGCTGCAGGATGTTGCTGCTTCTCCCCTCTCATCCCTTTAAAACACAGCTTGAGGAAACATAATGCTGATGATCAGCAGTCATTTTTATCCTTCTCCCTGCCTTCCCTGCTCGCACCTTGCTTTAAGCTTCTACCATCTCTCCCTGGAATTGTTGCTGTAGCTCCTGAGGCACCCCTGCCTCTTCCCTGGCCTCCCTGCATCTCTCTTCATCCTAGAAGCCAGAGGGATCCTATTATAACATAAGGCAGATCACGCCTGTTAAAACCCCCAATAGCTTCTATCCTAATCCTAGAGAAAAAGACACAGCCCTTATAAAATGCTGTGTGACCTGGCACCCACCCCCTCCCGCACACTCCCTCTCTGACCATTTCTCCTCCTTCCTCTCCCCTGCTTGACTCTGCTTCAGCCACCATGTCGTTCTGCTGGCTGCACTCCCTGCCTAGAGCCTTTGCATTTACTGTGTCCTGTAAACACCCACGTAGCTCCGTTTCTCACTTCCCTTAGCATCACCTAATGTCACTGGATCACGCAGGCCTTCCCTGAAGCTCACTCCCAAATGATAACCCATGCCTACTCTGCACTCCCCATACCTCTTCCCTGCTTCAGTTTTCACCATCTCACATGCTGTGTATTTCACTTCCTGGTCTCCTCTAATAGAATATGAGTTTTCTGAGGGAAGGGATTTTTCCAGAATCTCATAGTAGGCATTTTCATATGTTTTTAATAAATGAAGGAGAGCTGTGTTTATTGAGTGCTTACTACGTACTGGGCACTGTTCTAAACACTTCTAATTTTTTTTTAAGTTCAGGGGTACATGTGCAGATTTGTTACACAGGTAAACTCATGCAATGGAGGTTTGTTGTATAGATTATTTTATCACCCAGGTATTAAGCCTAGTACACGTTAGTTATTTTTCCCGATCTCTCCCGCCTCCCACTCTGTACCCACAGTAGGGCCCATTATCTGTTCCCCTTTTTGTGTTCATGTGTTCTCATCATTTAGCTCCCCCTTATAAGTAAGAACCTGGTATTTGGTTTTCTGTTCCCACATTAGTTTGCTAAGGATAATGGCTTCCAGCTTCATCCAACTTTCTGCAAATGACATGACCTCATTCTTTTTGTATGGCTGTGTAGCATTCCGTAGTATTGATGTGCCACATTTTCTTTATACAGTTACCATTGATGGGGATTTAGGTTGATTACATGTCTTTGCTGCTATAAGCATTTCTAATTTTACCTCATTTATTCTTTACCCTGACTTTATGAAGCATGTACTGTAATTACCTTTGTTTTAGAGATGAGAAGACGGGGAATATGCAAAGTGTATAAGCTGCTCAGGTCACATGTAAAGGTAGCACTTTGCTGTTAGGGCTGTGCAGAGAATCAGAACCAATAGGAGATGGATCTGTATGGAGATACCTATACCTAGATATAAAGAGAGAGTTCAAGATTGATCTGTTGATATAGATACAAAGTATAAATCACAAACAGCAATTTGTTTTAAGGAATTGGCCCGTTAGAATTGTTTTAAGTTCTAAAAAAAAAAAAAAAAAAGGAATTGGCCCATTTGATTGTAGAGCTGGCAAATCTGAAGTCTGCAGGTCAGGCTGGAGACCCAGGGAAGACCTGAGGCTGAAGGCTGTCTGCAGGCAGAATTTCTTCCCTATTGGGGGATCTCAGTCTTTTCCCTTAAAGTCTCTCTCATTAGATGAGGTTCACTCATGTTATGAAGATAGTCACCCTGTAGTCTCTTGATTTTAATGGTAATCACATGTAAAAAACACCTTCACAGCAATGCCTAACCTAGTGGTTGACCAAGCAACTGTGCACATAGCCCAGCCCAGCTGACACGGAAACTTACCGGGCACAGCCTCTGAAGACTTGGTGTTTAATGGTCAGGCTGACCTTGCTGGCCTTATCTCCAAGGGACTTCTCACCTGTCATGATGGAACAGAGGGGGTGAGATGCAGCCCCAAAGGGTTTCTGGTGCTCAGGAATTTCCCATCCTAGAAGGGGTTCTCTGACCTGAGGACCGCCCCAAGCCCTAGGGTAGCCTCTTCATCCTGTGAGCAGCAAAGCTCCAGCCGTCATCCTGCTTCACCTTTTCTCTCCCTGGAAGCCTTGTCTTCGCAGCAATGTGTCATGTATAAGAGTGGGGCTGCCCTCACTCACGTCCAGGCTGTGGAGAGGGGACTGCACCTGCTGAGTTGGGGTCCTGGCTGTTACCCCTTTGCAGTGTGAGATGAGGGCAGGCCTGGGTTTGTGGCATCTGGTGGCCTGTGGAGGTCACTCCTGGCCCCTGGCATAGCTTCTGTCTACAGGAGTCTTGGGACAAGGACAGGGCTGTGGCACGAGGCTGCAGGCCAAATCTAGTTGTACCTTTTCCAGCCATATGACTCAGCTGACCACTTAATGTCTCTGGGCTTCATTTTCCAAATCTGTAGTAACAGACATGACCACACAGCCTGGCCTGTTTTGATGTGAGGTCAGTAGGCCTCTGCTTGTTCCTCTGGCATCTTCAGACCAGTTCCATGAGGGGGAGTCAAGCCTAGGAAGGCCCAGCGCAAGTGCAGAGAAACTGCTGTCAGTGCACATTGGCCTCAGAGTCCCCGCTGACGGGAGTGTGCCTTATTCAGGGGCACAGGGAGCAGCCTGCCCACTGCTGGGAAAGGCCAGAGCCCACTTGAGAGCCATAGCCTCAGTCTTCCAGTGGTGCTCCCCCTTTCATGGTGCTTTGGTCTCCTAGAAACCTTCCCGGGCCACCACAGGCCTGGGGTTCAGCTGGGGGTTCCCGCCTGATCACCATTCACCTTGGGTTGCCAAGGGCCCTTGGGCCAGCCCGAGTCCCTCTAGTGGACACTATACTCAGACTCTGCTGTGGACACCTGGGGGTACCCCTCCCAAAGTGGTTATTGCTGTGTTATCACCCCTGTGATTTTCATGGTACATGTTGCAAACAAAGAAGTAATCACAGCATAACAGCCACCTTCAGTGCTGCTCTGCCGGGACAACCGCCACAGCCTGGGATACCTGCACGCACGTGGGAGTGTGTGCCACACATCTGTGGATCACGCCATAGGTGTTCTGTGCTTCACCTTGTGTTGCCTTAACAGATTAGCTTTTTTAAGTTCTGACCACATGAATATCATTTTTATCACGTCTTATAATATCTTTTATTTCCTCAAAATATCACCACCATTGTTAATATCACTATAATTTTACATACTACAATGATCGCTGTAAATTCCACATGATTTCCCTCCTTTTTATAGGGTGACAATTCACTAAACTGTATTTTGGATTATATTTCTTTGTATGTGTATCTTTTTGCTTCTGTGGAATTATTTCCTTAGAAATTCGTCTCTAGAGTCCACAGTGTTGCGTCAAAGAGTGTAAACATTTCTTTAATTCTTCATACTTAATTCTCTCCTAAAAGGTGGTTTCGTTTTCCTATGCTGTGAAGAATACTTATTTTTGGATTACCATCTAAATAACACTGGGGAGGGGGAGTGTGGGGAAGAGTGAGGAGAAAGATCCATAAGCCATGACTTGGAATACCACAGGGTGATGGGTCTTTTTTCTTCTTCCTCAGCACAACCAGCTCCACAGCCAGTAGCTGCGACACCGAGTTCACTAAAGAAGACGAGCAGAGGCTGAAGGATTATATCCAGCAGCTCAAGAATGACAGGGCTGCAGTCAAGCTGACCATGTTGGAGCTGGAAAGCATCCACATCGATCCGCTCAGCTATGACGTCAAGCCCCGGGGAGACAGCCAAAGGCTGGACCTGGAAAACGCCGTGCTGATGCAGGAGCTCATGGCCATGAAGGTATGCGGTGGGCGGGTCCTGTGCACTGGGCTGCTGCCAGGAGGAAATCTAAACAGCCTTTCAAGGCAGGTCCAGCCCATAAGGAAGAATCGACCCTTCCGTGTTCAGTCACCTCTGCCCAGAGAAGAGCCAGACCCTTATTTGTAGACAGCTGATTTCACTGTGTCTGGGGGTCACTTGGGCTGGGTATTTCTGGACAGGGAAGTTGAATTCTAAGGAATTTCTCAGGGTGTCCCAGCGCAACTTTGGACCCCTTCATCCTCTAAGAGAAGCCAGGTCAGACCTCTGCATGGTGGAGCCTCTGTCCATCTAAGTTGAGCAACTAGAATGCTTGGAAGTATGTCTTGGGTTACTGATGCTGCCATTAACTCCCAGCAGGGAGAGAACAGGGTGAGGCCAGTTGCAGTTTGCCGAAAGCCCTGGTTTCTTGACACCCTGCACCTTTGGTGCAGTGTCAAGCCTGCTCAGTGCATAGTGCCCTCCAGTGAAGGTGTACAGTGCTGACGAGGTCAGAGTTTCAACAGATCTGAACATTGGACCCTTCAGCTGCTGGTGGAGATATCTGCCTGCTGGCGTTTCTACAGCAGGGAGTTTTCTTGGAAAGCTGGGGTCCCCAGCTGGGAAGTGGTTAAACTACCATCCCTCAGCAGGACACCACTTTGCCTTTTTCTCTGGTGTGGAGTGTCAGGCACCAGCCCTTCACCTGATACCTGCTCTCAGAAGGCAGCTGTGGTATAAGCAAGACCATATCTCATGTTTGTCCTTAGTTCTGGGACAGAGTTTCAGAAACCCTTGGAGTTTCTTGCTGTGCTAGGAGTGTCTTTGTGATGCTGATGAGGTGACTTACGGTGGGCCCTAGACAACTTGAGGATGTGGCCTGGTCACCAGAGGACCAGGTGTGTGATGGAGGATTGGGACTTTCAGCCACCTGACCTCCAGGGAGAGGAGGAGAGCCAGAGATTGAGTTCCATCCTGTGGCCAATGATTTCATCAGTCATCTCTGTATAATGAAGCCCTCTGTATAATGAAGTCCATGAAAACTATGGACCTGAAGCTCAGAGAAGCTTCCTGGTTGGTGAACACATTAATGTGTCAGGAGGGACATACCGTGACTCAGTGGGGAAAGGGCCCAGAAGATCTGCGCTTGGTACTCCTTCAGCATTCACTCTCTGTACACCCTTTATAATAAAACTGTAATCGTAAGGATAGTGCTTTCCTTCATTCTGCAAGATGTTTTAGCAAATTACCCTCAGAGGGGTCATGGGTTCCCCCAAATTTGTAGGCAAGGCAGTCAGAAGTGTTTCAGTGGCCAGAGAGGCTCGTCCCACTGGAGACTTGGGGCCGGCGTCTGAAGGGAAGGCAGCCTATGGAGGACTTTGCCCTTAACCTGTGGGGTCTGCACCAACTCCAAGTAGTTAGCATCAGGACTGGACTGCAGCGCGCGCAGGTGGAGTGGGAACAGAAGAACAGCCTGCCAGAAGCATGGTCCCATGTCACTGCACGCTGCGTCTCAGGCCACGGCACAGGTAGGAACTTGCTTGGGGCCACTCCTGTGGACCTTGGGTCAACACCGGACTCTGCTGCCGGCCCTAACCTGCTTTCCAAATTCCACTCTTCTGTGAGCAAATGCCTGAATTTGCACAGCCTTGGATTCTGCGGCACCACCGGCTCCCAGGAGTGAAGATAGGAAGGGGCTGTTTTCAGGCAGAAGCCTGGTGATGGTCAAGAACTGGAGTCTAGCAAGCCAGAGTGGGTCGTGGCAGTGCTGTGTTAGTGGCTCCTATTGTGATCAGTACTGTCCGTGGCAGGGAGAAAAACAACCCCCCCTGGAGAGTGGAAGGGAGCTGGCAGCAGCAGCCATCCTGACACCCTCAGAGGTGACTCAGCACAGCCCGGCCCCCGGCACAGCACTGTCCCCGGGGGCTTCTGGGTGATATGTGGGAAGACACTAGGCAGTGGTAACAGATGCAGGAATCTCACCTCTGCCCCCACCCCAGTGATTTCCAAATTGGCTCATCTTCATCCACCCACCCTGCTCCCATTCCGGCCTCTCTCCGGAGAATTCTCACGCTGCTTTGGCTGATTCCACGTCTCATTGCTTATAAGCCATCCTTGGTTCCACCATTGTAGTGACTTTTCCCCCGTCGGAGCCCCCTTTGCAGACCCTTGCACCCTGTGGCACGAGCCCTGAGGCTACCCTTCTTCCATCGTTTATTTCAAACAGCTTGTTTCTTGTGGCCAAAGACCAAGGATTTCCTTTTTAAAATTGGTCAGTATGTCCTGTGATAAATTCATGGGTATTCTAGCCAAGAAAGACATTTTTGTTGGAATAAAAGTTATAATACTCCCTTTGCTACTTGAAAATAAAATGTGTACTCATCTAAGTAGAATTTATAAAGAGCTTGGAGGGGAACAATCCATGATATCATGATCCAGGGCGGCCATTGCTAGCACTCTGGCTCGGTTCCCTATGGCTTTCTTGAAGGCTAAACTTCAGTCATCTCCTTTTCCTATGAGCCCCTCCCAGTCTGCCTGGGGATGTGTACTCACCCATACCAAATCCATCATCCAGCATGGTGGCTCACACCTGTAATCCCAGTGCTTTGGGAGGCTGAGGTGGGTGGATCACAATGTCAGGAGTTTGAGACCAGCTTGGCCAACATAGAGAAACCCTGTCTCTATTAAAAATACAAAATATTAGCGGGGCATGGTGGTGGGCCCATGTAATCCCAGGTACTTGAGAGGCGGAGGAAGGAGAATCGCTTGAACCCGGGAGATGGACTTTGCAGTGAGCTGAGATCAGCGCCACTGCACTCTGGCCTGGGTGACAGTGGGAGACTCCATCTCAAAAAAAAAAAAAAAAAAAATACCTAGCAGGTTATGTTGGATTTTCACCATTTTCTAGGATCCAACTACTGAGAAATTCAAGTTTCTGTTTTTTTAGTACATCCTCATTTCCAGATGATCTGCTTGGTTCCTCCTCAAATCCACCCTTGTTTTTGTTGTTTGTTGTTTTTTGAGACAGGGTCTCGCTGTGTTGCCCAGGTTGGAGTGCAGTGACGCTGTCATGGCTCACTATATCCTCACCCTGGGGCTGAAGTGATCCTCCTGCCTCAGCCTCCCAAGTAGCTGGGACTACAGGAAGGCACCGCCCTACCCAGCTGATTTTTCAAGTTTATTTTTTGTAGAAACAGGATCTCACTTTGTTGCCCAGGCCAGTCTCAAACTCCTGGGCTCACGTCATCCACCCACCTCAGTCTCCCAAAATCCTGGGATTACAGGTATGGGGCACCAGGCCTGGCCTTCTCTTCCTTTTTGAACATTTTATCTCTCCATTATGACTTCTATATTTCTTTGTTCAAATCTTTATTTTCTAGTTTTTCACATTGTTATTTCTGCTTCTTGTAAATGCTTACTCTTACTTTTTGCATCTGCTCGTTCTACGTCAGTGCTGATTCATTCTCATTTCCTTGGTGGCGGGGGCGGCGGGGGAGAATGCAAGCACCAGCTCATCCCCCAAGGAAACTGTCTCCCATGGGGCCCTGCGGATCCTGCGTTGCAGACGTCCTTACAGAGTGGTTCTATGTTTAGATCCGTTGGGACTCGTCGGTTTCTGAGGTGTAGGACTAGTTGTGTTTGGTTCCTGGCTGAGGATTCCTGTACCACACCTACACATGATGCGAGCTGGAGGTTTAATTCCTCGAAAGAGATTTTTCTTTCTTTTCCCACCTAGAGCCTCAGAGATGACAAGTGTCCTTGCCACATCTCCACAAAGGAAGTTTTCTAGTGTCTTATTCTGGGCAGCCCGTTGAGAGTCCTGCTCCCGTCGGGGTCTGAGCTGTGGCTGTCTGCCTCAGAGGCCACAGCCCTAGCCTTGTGTAACATTAAGCGCCCGTGTGGAGGGCCTGCAGACGACCTGACGCCTCGCTGACCGGCACGCGTCCTCGTTGCCGTTCCCTCTGGCAGCGATCCCTCTTCATTTCTGGCACCCATGGGTTTCTCTTTACTTGTTTCAGGCATGCAGTTATATGTTTGTTCTGGAAGCGACCATCACATTAGCTCAGTATTCAGTGTTGCCAGAACCTTCCGCATCCTGCTTCCAATGGCAAAAGATGAGAAGACTCTGGGCATGGCACCCCTTTCATTCTGGCTTTTATGTCTGAAATTTAGGGGAAAGAAGGGCTGGCCTGTTCTGAGAAGTTTACTGAGCACATTGACTGACATCCCTCTGGAGGGGTGCCCTCTACCTCTTTCCCCACATTGAAGAGTGAAAACATCTACCCCTCAGTCCACCCGGAGAGTGCACTAGGCCTGTGGCTTATTACTTCAGAAAGGCCACTTCACGGGTGGGTGGAATCTGAACTCACCTCTGGTGAGGACTCAAGGTCCAGCCTCCTCGGTCCGTCTGAAGGTGGTCTGGGGAGGCTGGACCTGGTGGCCCTGGGGTGGTGGAGTCACCCTCCAGCAGAGGTAAGGGACAAGAGGCATGCATGGGCTCACCTTGAAAGGGAAGGAGGCAGTATAGCTTAGTGGTTATAGGCCTGCGCTCTGAGCCGGACAGCTTGGCTGCAATTTCTGGCTCCACAGCTTACCCAGTAGCCATAGGCAGGGGGATTTTTCTCTGTGTGCCTCAGTTTCCCATCTGTCAGTGGAAATTGTTGCAATACCTACCTCAAGTTGGGAAGATTAAATGAGCCACGTCATGTGAACACTGAGCACAGTGCCACGTGCTCAGTAAAGGCCGGTGGCTGTCATCGTTCTTGGCTCCTAGTCCCAGGATGGCACTGTCCTATTTGGATTCACTTCTTATTCTCCACGCATCATTCTCCTTTGAGTTCTTAGGATACTTGTAGATGTCATCTGATGAGCGGTCACCTGTGAAGGACACTGTTTCCGTTGATTTCATTTGGGCCCTGAGAAGTAGGCAAGAGCTGGAGGTTGATGCTGCTGTAGGTGTTCGCCGCCTGCCTGGCCCAGTGACAGTTGCTGTGGGAGTGCTTAAATATCCCTTTGGTGCTGTGGAAACCAAAATGGGAATTGGAAGGGACTTGGCCAGGAGAAGCCTTCCACACAGAGGTGACTTTACAGCCTCTGGCAGATGCATCTCAGCCTCTGCAGGCCAGAGAACGGGTTTCCATCAAGGCCCATGTGGGGGCTCTAGGTGTTAGAAAGCTTTTCCCTGTGTTGAACCACAGTCCACTTGCCTGTAACTTCTACCCTTTTGTCTCGGGTCTAGTTCATAGACTGATAAAATGCATGGCCTGGTCCACATGTCATTCCTTCAGAAGTGTGGCAACAGCTGCCACGTCTCTTCCCACTCATCCTACTGCCAACTTCAAAGTGATAACTCTACCATGGGTCTGTGGGACATTGCCGAGGACCACCCACCACCCACCACCCACTTGGCAGCAGCCAGCCCTGTTCTCAGATTGCGGGCGCCTCATATGCGTTGTGCTCCTTGCTCTGTAGGAGGAGATGGCTGAGCTGAAGGCCCAGCTCTACCTACTGGAGAAAGAGAAGAAGGCCCTGGAGCTGAAGCTGAGCACACGGGAGGCTCAGGAGCAGGCCTACCTGGTGCACATCGAGCACCTGAAGTCCGAGGTGGAGGAGCAGAAGGAACAGCGGATGCGGTCCCTCAGCTCCACCAGCAGCGGCGGCAAAGACAAACCTGGCAAGGTAGGGCCAGAGTGGCTCAGAGACACCCTTAGGCTCAGGTCTCCCGTGATGCCCAGTGACCACTGACCACACCTCACTGCCCTGCTGCCTCCATTCTTGTATTTGCATAAGAACTGCAGGCCATTGCTAGGTATCTAAGGAGGTGACATTTTGAGTGTAACGAAACCAGTCTACATTTTAGAAATACCAAATCTCACTTTATGTAGTAGTGGATACCTTTTCACATATCGCAGTCACATTACAGGAGCAGTCTCTGCAACTGTCCACTGATACTGGTCTCACCTCCTTCGTCTAATCCTCTGTCACAAGGCAGACCTCATTTGTTGGTTTATGGATACAATAGTGCCCCCTTTATCCGCAAGGGACACGATCCAAAATCCCCCAGGGATGCCTGAAACCACAGATAATACTGAACCCTTATATATTCTACGTTTTCCCCTATACATACCTGTGATGAAGTTGACTTTATAAGTTAGGCACAGTAAGAGATTAACAACAACTAATAAAATATTAATAGAACAATTTTAACAATATGCCAGCATCATTACTGTTGCACTTTGGGGCCATTATTACATGACATAGGGTTACTTGAACACAAGCACTGTGACGCAGGGACAGTTGATCTGATAACTGAGACAGCTACTAAATGACAGCTGGGTGGGTAGTATCCACGTTGTGGCTGCGCTGGACTAAGGAGGGGTGATCCACAACTCGGGTGGGATGGCCCGGGACGGTGCAAGATTTCATCACATTGCTCAGAATGGTGCACGATTTAAAACTTATGAATTGCTTATTTCTGGGATTTTCCATTTAATATTTTCAGACCATGGTTGGCCTTGAGTAACTGAAACCACAGAAAGCAAAACCACAGTTAAGGGGGAGCTATGGTACTTCTGTACCAATGATTGCATTTATTGTCACCCTTAAGTTTCACAGGTCTGAGGAAAGAATAGTTATCCTCATTTACATGAGAAAAATGAGACTCAAAGAAGTGCAGAGTCTCACAGCTGATAAATGGCAGAGTTGGGATTTAGCCAAGATCCACTAACGGGCTCTCTTCCTTTCGCTGCATTTCCTCCTCAACTCCTTCCTGCTGGCATTTCTGCCGTCATGGGGTAGTAAGCGGGAAGCAGCCTGCAGGCAGAGGAGGAGGAAGGAAGCCTTGGGTTACGGAGCCTACGTCATCTGAGAGTGGGCTGTCTGGTGGCAGAATTTTGCAACCTCACTCTCTTATCAGCCCCCAGGTGTTTTTTTGTTTTTTTTTTTTTCCCCTGGAATCCAAGTTCATTCCATTATTCTGTATTTCAGAATTTTCTAAATACTGCATCGGGGAAAAAAAAAACCACAAAACTGTGGACTCTAAAGAATTATATTCCTTGTCCAAGGGTCCCCTATATTCTGTGCATCATATTTTTCTATTCCTAATAAATACAAGCTTCTCTTGACCCCTGTTTGTTTCAGACCCAGGACTTGCAGTCATACTCCAGCTTGCTAGTCTAATACGCGGCTTCTCATAGCACAAGTGCAGGACCATCTCCAGGAGAGCCATGTACCTGGGAAAGAAGGAACAGTGCTGATATCATGTGGCAGTGAATTGTCACTCCAAAAATAGTTAAGAATTCTAAAGCATGATTCACAAATGGCCACAGCTATGCCTTTCCCCACCTCCCACGTGCTGAGGAGCCGAGGCAGGAGCTGTGGCACCCAGCCAGGCCCACCCTCCCAAGACCCTGGCTGCTTTTTATTCATCCGTTCAACTGATAAATGTGATTTGGCCCCACAGCATGGCAGAACAGACGCAGGGTGCTAGAGGCAGCTCTGTGGTAGACAGGCAAAGTCTGTCCTCCAGGATCTTACGTTCTTGGGAGGAGACTGGTGGGCAAACAGATGATCACAGCAGTGATAGAATGTCCCCAGTGTGAGGATCAATTCCTAGCACCATGGGAGGCCACAAGCAAGACACAAATGTCCACTGTGGAGATTGAGGACAGGTTTTCTGGAAGAAATGAACTTCTGAACTGAGCCCCAGTAGAGAGTGGGAGCTGGCCTGTTGAAGAGGGGAGAGAAGAAGCCACCCTTCAGCTGATGAGAGGAGTGGAATCGATGCATTGGCTGGAGTTATCTTGAGGGCCCTGCGGAATCATGGAAGGGCTTCAGCAGGAGATGATGTGATAAAGTTTGCGCTTTAGAGAAGTCACTACACCAATTGCACTATGAGGCCATCTGCCCAAGCCTGGGGGAGGCGAGTCAGGCTGTGCAGTGTGGGTGGACACCAGCCACGCAGTGCTGTTTCACACGGCAGTATCTGGGACTCGGGAAGGTGGGGTTTCCTGTTCCATACACACACTTTCAAAAAATCTTTTTTTTTTTTTTTGCCTTTTGAGTTTGTTAGCAGTCAGTTAGGGACAGAGCCTGAGAGACAGAGCGGTAGTGTTTGTGTATGTGTTCTTAGGGTGTGGTGGAAATGGACTTACCAGGTTCTTGCCAGAAGGCCCATGAACTGAACATTTTCCCCTAGTTCCTGATATTTATTTTGTCTGGGGGAAACACTGTTATGTGGAGTGGCTTCAAAGTAAGGAAATTTGGCTGGACATGGTGGCTCATACCGACAATCCCAGCACTTTGGGAGCCCAAAGCGGGTATAACTTGAGGTCACGAGTTGAAGACCAGCACGGCCAGCAGGGTGAAACCCCGTCTCTACTAAAAATACAAAAATTAGCTGGGCATGGTGATGGGCAACTGTAATCCTGGCCACTTGGGAGGCTGAGGCACGAGAATTGCTTGAACCTGGGAGGCGGAGGTTGCAGTGAGCAGAGATCATGCCACTGTACTCCATCCTGAGCAAAAGAGCAAGACTCTCATCTCAAAAGAAAAAAAAAGTAAGAAAATCTCTTTGATGGAAAAGGGCAGATGATTTTTTTTTAACATTACAGTAAGAAGCTTTATAAGAGTATGTTGTGTTTTTAAGGTAATGAAATAAGAATAAGCTGATTATCTTGCCTTTTAAATAGTAGATCCATTTATTGTTTGAATAAAGTTTCTCATCTGGGCTCTTCACCTGGTCTTACCTGTTGGTGAATGAGGCAGAATGTCTAGAGCTGGGGTGAGCACTTTTCTGTGAAGGGCCACACAGTAAATGTTGTAGGGCTTATGGGTCATTTGAACGCAGCTGCAGCTACTCAGTTCTGCTATTGTCCAATGCTAGAGCAAAGGCAGAAGCAACAGGGAGACCAGTGGGCATGGCTGTTTTCCAGTAACACTTTATTTATGTATTTATTATTATTATTACTTTTTTTTTGAGACAGCGTTTCATTCTTGTTGAGCAGGCTGGAGTTCAATGGCGTGATCTCAGCTCATTGCAACCTCTACCTACCAGGTTCAAGTGATTCTCCTGTCTCAGCCTCCCAAGTATCTGGGACTACAGGCATGTACCACTACACCCAGCTAATTTTGTATTTTTATAGAGGTGGGGTTTCACCTATTTGGTCAGGCTGGCCTTGAACTCCTGACCTCAAGTGATCCACCCGCCTTGGCCTCTCAAAGTGCTGGGATTACAGGCATGAGCCACCGAGCCTGACCTCTAGTAACACTTTATGTGTAGACGTTGACATTTGAATTTCATGTAATTTCTACCTGTCACAAAATATTCTTCTTTTGACTTTTTAAAATGATTTTAAAAATAGAAAAACCATTCTTATCCTGTGGGTCATACAAAAACAGCTGGCAGGCCACATTTGGGTCTGAAACATTTATTCTTGCTCCGCTGGGTGGGTGTTCATGCCTCTTTAAAAAGTTTCCCTCTGACTGCCACAGCTGAATTCCAAATTTTATCCAAGTTGTATTAGGTTTTTGAAATTCTTGTCTGTGTGCACCAGATACTGCCAAGTATTTTCAGTGTGAGGCACCGTGAATGAGACAAAGCAGTCCCTGTCTTTAAGGAGTCTCCTGAAATGTTAACATCAAATGGCATCGGATATACAAAAAGTGAGGATGTTGTGGGAATCTCAACAGATTGCAAGGGTGGTGGACAGAGGACTTGGGTCTCTGGGCACAGGTAGATAGAGAGGAGGTGGGAGGCGGTCCAGGTGGAGGACATGGTAGAGGGAAGAGCACTCGGGTGTTGGCAGCGCCACTGCCGAGGAACTGCCTCGGGAGACCATGTGCCTGGACTTCCAGCACTGAATCCTTGCTTCTCTGTAGCTCACATCTTATGATACAATTTTCTGTTTACATTCCATCTCCTGCAGCAGATCACAAGATTTTTATTCTGAGGCCTGCAGCTCGGCAGCTCCTCGTGTCTGTTGAGAGATCATCCAATGAATGCCCTCCCCTGGTCGCGTTGTTACATAGCGTGGCTGCCGCCCGCTGTGTGCATGGAACAGAGAACGCTCAACCGTGGCCACTGCCTTGAATAGCCTTCACTCTAGGATTTGGAGCTCTGGCTCTTCAGTTTTCTCATCTGCAGAGTGGGAGGATTTGCTTTAGATGATGTCAAGGTCCCTGTCTAATGGTCATCTGTGGGGGCTGGGGGTACATTTCTGTCTTCCTCTTCCTCTCCTGGGTTTTCTTGATGATTAAGAACCCAGTAAAGCTCCTAAATCTAGAGGAGATTGGTTTCCTCCCAAGGAGAAGTGGGATGGGGCAACAGGGATATTCACAGGTATTTCTCACTTGTCTTTTATGATTATGAGAGGCCTTACCTAGTAGTCAGGAGATTGATCTGGGGGCCACACAGCCTGGGTTTGAATCCTGGTTCCACAGTTTCCTAGCTGGTGACTGGGCAGCGTAACTACTCTGTGCCTTAATTTCCTCGTTGGTAAAATGGGGGTAATAATAGTTCCTGCCTCAGAGATTACTTGTGGTGATTGAGTGATTGAATGCATATGGTGCGCTTAAACCAGTGCCTGGCATCTGCATCAGCTCAGAGCACACCAGGTGTCATTACCACCGCAATGGCCAGCCTGCAAAAGGAGCCAGAGGTCTGGGAGCAGAGGGGGCTCTTTGGCTTGCTGACAGGCTTTCCCCTTGAGCACGATCTGAGAGCACCGTCTAGCACCCACACTGCTGCCATTACTGCACTAGCCACCGACCACACTGCTGCAGGTTTCCAGGGTGCTGTCCGGCTTGGATTCAGGTCTAATAGGAATGTGTTTGCTGTTGTCAGGAGTGTGCTGATGCTGCCTCCCCAGCTCTGTCCCTAGCCGAACTCAGGACTACGTGCAGTGAGAGTGAGCTGGCTGCGGAGTTCACCAACGCCATCCGACGGTAAGCACCCTTCCCCACCCCACAGGTTTATCCTGCGCCTGGAGGCTTTGTTCCGAGTTCTGTTAGCTGCTCGAGAAAGGAGAAGGTGCTGATGTGTTCCCCTTTGCCCATATCTTGGAGGCCAGAAATGGAAAAGGCCTGTTGGTGCGCCGCCTTTCAAAACGGAGTGAGGAGAGAGAGCGCTTAGGCAGTCATTTTGTCTGTGAATAAGAAGAAAATTCTCTGTCCTTTTTTGTTACTTGTTACATTGGCTAGAAACTTGAGGACAGTGTTAAATCGTGAGTGAAAACAGGCATTCTTATCTTGTTTCTAACTTCAGCAGGAATGCTTTCCTTCAGCGTGTATTTATTTAGTTCCGGGAAATTTTCCTCTGTTATTTCAGTGTTTTTTTTTCCCCCTTACCATGCCCCAATTCTTTATCTCCTTCTGTAAGAGGAAACAGATCCTGATTCATCCAGCCCTGTCTTCCGTGTCTTACCTTTTCATACCTTCTTTCCATCACTCGTTTTGTTCTGGCTTCTGTAGCAGCATTGCCCAGTAGAACTGTAATGTGAAGCACATATGTAATTTTAAAGTTTCTAGTAGCCACATTAAAAAGAAGGAAAACAGCTGAAATTCACTTTGATAACATTTTGACACAATATGTCTAAATTATTTTAACATATAATCAGTATTTTCTAAAACTATTAATGAAATATTTTCCGGTTTTTTAACTAAGTTTTCAAAACCTGGTATGTATTTCACACCTCAGCATACCTCCAACTCAGACATTCCAAGTGCTCAGGAGCCACATGTGGCTGGTGGCTGCCCTATCAGATAGATGGAGTTCTGGAGAAAGATATTTTTTGGCTCAGTTTTCCAGCTAACAAATTTATTCTTTAGATTCATTGTGATGTTTGACCTATATGTCACGTTTTTGTACTTTGGTGATTAAATCTATGATCTCTTTTTAAGTGATATGATATCTTCTTGGATCTCTTTGAGGATTTTTAGTATGCTAAATTTTTTTTTTTTTTTTTTTGAGAAAGAATCTCACTCTGTTGCTCCAGCTGGAGTGCAGTGGCACAGTCAAAGCTCATTGCAGCCATACCCTCCCAGGCTCAAGTGATCCGCCCACCCCAGCCTCCCAAGTAGCTAGGATCACAGGCACGTGCCCCTACACCTAATTTTTTTTTTTTTTCGTAGAGACAGGGTCTCCCTATGTTCCCAGGCAGGTCAGAAAACATCTGCCCTTCATTTTTTATGAGGGCCCAAGTGATCCTCCCACCTTGGCTCCCAAAATGTTGGGATTACAGGCATGTACCACCATGCCCAGTCCTTACATTCCTTAATCTTTTTTGTCTGCTGTATTAACTCTGTTTCTTCACATGTAATTTTTTTCATAGTTGACTCTTTCTTAGTGTTGGCTTTCTTTAAATATTCAATGGTTCTTGTTTGTGTGTTCATTCTTATACCTTAAATTCCTAGGTCACCTATTTGAGGGTTCTTTTTTTCTTTCTTTCTTGTTTTTTCTTTTTTCTTTTTTTTGAGACAGAGTCTTGCTCTGTTGCCCAGGCTGGAGTGCAGTGGTGCGATCTTGGTTCACTGCAACCTCCCTCTCCCACGTTCAAGCAGTTCCCCTGCCTCAGCCTCCAGAGTGGCTGTGACTCAGGCATGTGCCACCACACCCGGCTAATTTTTTGTATTTTTAGTAGAGACTGGGTTTCACCATGTTGGCCAGGCTGGTCTGGAACTCCTGACCTCAGATGATCAATCCGCCTTGTCCTCCCAATGTGCTAGGATTACAGGCGTGAGCCACCATGTCCAGCCATCCTATTTGAGAGTTCTGTATCTACTTAATACAGCCTGCTACCCAGAAAATGTAGCCAGTTCCTTTAGAGTGCTGTCAGCTGGGTCATATCAGAATCTGTCTCCTGGGCTTTCTGTGCCTCCTGGTTAATAACAGCTCTCTAGTTTGCGTATCTGACCTAAGCGTCTGATCCCCTCCGGTTCTGGTAGCCAACACCTCTGGTTGGAGCACCTTTGAATCCCCTTCTTCCTTTTGCAGAGTATTTTTCTGTGTGCATTTTGAGTTGTGGTGGTTTCCTTTTTCAGGAAGAAGAAAACATCTGCCTTTCATTTTTTATGATTGCACATGGTTTCTGGTATACAAAGAGCCCTCCTTTCTAAGATGCTCAGGGGTTTTAAAAAATGTCTTTCCTGTCATTTCTGGGGATTTAGGGTGGGAGGGGAAGGCTACAGTGTATTCTCAGTCCGCGAACTTGATCCAGCAGGACTGTTTTAGGATGGCCTCCAAGCTGATGGTGGATGGAAGGTTGCGTTATGGGGAACTTCACTACCTTCCTGATTTACTGTCACTTTTTGTCTTTCCTTCCAAGTTGTAATAGCCCTGTTTTTACTTTGCCAGCTCCTCTGGCCGTGTAGTTAAATGGTAATTGTTCTGGTTAGGGTGGGAAGAAAAAGCTGCACAGAAAAATGCTCTCAACAAATCCTAATGACTTAAGTGTGCCAGAAACATGGGATGGAAATCCACTCCCCGTTTCCAACTGGGAGCTGTTTGGATATTGTATCTGTAAGCTAAGCCCTAAATTTTTCAAATTCCCCAAACCTCAGAGGCCTTTGCTGGCACAAGGAAGATGCAGGTTGTGCTGACTTAACATAAAGAGATTTCATTTGTCCTGTCAGTTGCAGTGGATTTCCAATAACCAGCCTTAAGTTGGTTAGCATGGATTTCTAATCAAGACCCAGATGGATGGAGCCAAGAACGAACCCACAGAGGTAAAGGAAAAAGGAAAATAACATAATGATGCTGTAAATAGAGCTTAGAAACGGGAATCGTCATTTCACGGGGGTGTACAGGGCGCACGCCTCAGGGCTGCAGTTTAGGTTTGTATTATAGACCTTCGAAGTGACTATTCCTGAGGTTTTTATTTTTAAAAATCAAGTGGAAACTAACACCTTTTTTGAAGGTATGAAATCACTGCCGAGCTCATGGTTGAGGTCAGCTGGGAGAATCTTACCAGCATTTTCAGCGATGTTTCTCCCTTGAAAAAAGGATGGTTCCAGACACCACAACTGTGGGCCCAGATAGCCAGACCGAAAAGATCGGGTGTTGCTAAGGGAGGAGGAAGAGGCTACGCCATGGGCTGTCCCTAAGGGGAACTAGCCATCCCAGGGAAGCGGCCCTGTGACACTTCAGTCACTGGTTCTGGGTCATGACATTGTCCCCAACCCAGCCTCCCCTTACCTGGCCGGCCCTGCCATCCAGCCCTGGCTCTCTGTGCGTCTTCTCCTAACTTTCTTCTGTTTGGAACAAAACCAGGGCTCCATGCCACCCCACATTTACTGTATGTATAACTCCCATCTGGTCTGATTTCATTCCCCCCACTTCAGTGAACATTTATTGCAGTTTGTTGGCTCTGGCATTGCCATAAAACCCCATCTGGATGACCAGGTTTACAGTCTGGCACACGAGATGTTTTCTTATCAGGGTATCTTGTTTTCACTCTTGTCCATCCAGCCTGTGTGCTATAAAAACCTCTCTTTCTCAGATCTGTCTCTCGCCCTTGGTCCTAGTAAAATTTAACTGAATGATCTTTCCACCAAATAAGTGATCTATAAAAAGGCAGCTAAATAAGGGAATTTTCAGAAATGACTCTTTTTGTACTCACATGATGCCTGCCCTCGGGACCTGAGCACAGCTGAGAGGAGCAGACTAGTTCGTCTCCGTCATGTTCTTGGGAGGCAGCCGGGAGCAGGTGCTGCTCTCCATATGATCTGGGGGGGAGACTGGAACAGCAAGGCTGAATGATCTCTCAAGGTCACACAGTGAGGCAGTGAGGAAGTCCACATGTTTCTACATTCTCTGTGGGGAGCCCTTGCACCCCACATGTGCTGGCAGCGTTGAGTTTGCTTGCAGATAAGGGAGCTGAGCCCACTCGTTTATCTGAAGACACTACCCCCTGTGTGACTGGTCTGGGCAGTGAGAAACCTCTGTGCCTTCACTAAACAGCCATGCCTTAGTCTGCCAGTGCGGAAGGCAAATGAGGTGCCGTCGCAGGAGGAAGGCTTCCTTAAACACACAGAGCTTCGAAGCAATGCCATATGTCAGCCTTAGTCTTGCTGATGACAAAGTAAGGATCTGAGCCGTGGCATACACCTGGAGTTCCTGGGGAGGCTGAGGCAGGACAATCCCTTGAGGTGAGGAGTTCAAATCCAGCCTGGGCAACATAGCGAGACTCCGTCTTTAAAAATATAAGTAAGTAAAAAATACATTTTTCAAGTAAGGATCTGTGCTTCCTCAGTGCTAGGAGACCGGGAGTAGACAGGAGGGGCCTGTGCCATGGTGACGAGGAGCGCGTGGTGCTGCCTTACAGGCACTCGCCTTTCACTCTACCCATGAGCAGGGCGAGGCAAGCCCTACACACTACCTGTAGGAGGTGGTGCCCTCCCTCCAGGAGGCTGCGGTCATTCAGTCACAGACCCTCCAGGGGCTGCACCCACCCTCCAGGGAACTGGGATATGCCTCCTGTGTCTGCGTGTGTGCCAGATGGTTCTGTAAAGTGCCACATTAAGGCAATGGACAAATCACAGTGGCCGTTCCATCCAGGAACAGGATGCCCCTGACTCATCCACCAGAGGAGGGCATCCTTTCCTCCTTCTGCTGAATAGCAAGCAGGCAAGCTGCCACTGCTGGGACACAGGACTGCGTGCCAGAGCCCTGTAAGGAGACATCCAGTGGCAGGAGGGTTCCGTCTGATGAGTGTGATCACAAGAGACCAGGTCTGGAGGGCCTGAACATGATGCTGATGGGGAGTGGAGGAGGCCACAGAGGAAGGAGAAGGCACAGGAGGCAGTGTCCCAGGGTTCAAAGAGACAGAGTGGGAATTGCCCCCATCATCCCTGGTCATACACTGCTGCCGTGCAGGTTACTCGGATGGGGGATTTCCTGGGGGCAGACCTTAGAACATCTAGCAGGGGAGGATCAGAAGTTGAGAAAA